GATAGACAAGCTTACAGGAAAGACTGAAAGGCAGACGGATAGACATACAGGCATGTGGACAGGCAGATAGACAGACAGACAGGCGGACAGAAATACAAACAAGCAAGCAGGCAGACAGACAGGCAGCCACATAGCAGACAGACAAGCAGTCATACCGACAAACGGATCAGAAGGAAAACAGAGAGGCAGACGGGGAAATGGGCAGGCAAACAGACAGACAGACAGATAGGCAGACATACGGACAGACAGGCAGACAGGCAAGCAGAGAGACAGATAGGCAGCTAGACGGACAGAAAGGCAGGCATTCAGACAGTCAGGCAAACAACCAAACAGGCAGATAAGAGAGAAAGGCTGTCAGACCAACAGGCAGACAGACAAGCAGACAGGCATTGAGGCAGACAGACAGAAAGACAAGCAGGCAGACTGACGGACTTACATACAGCAGAGCAGACGGACAAACAGACAGAAAGGCTGAAAAACAGGAATGCAGACAAGCAGGCAAATGGACAGACAAAACGTCAGATGGTCCGACAGGCAGTACCACTGCACACAGACAGGCAGACATACCGGCTAACGGATTGGAAGGCAAACAGAGAGGCAGACGGGCAGGCACACAGAAAGACATTCGGACAGACAGGCAGACAGACAGACAGAAAGACAAGCAGGCCGACTGACAGACAGTCAAACAGACAGCAAGGAAGATGGACAGGCAGACAGACAGACGGACATACAGCCAGGCAAAAAGACGGACAGGCATACGGATATGTCTGCCAAGCAGGCGGGCAGACAGACAGACAAACGGACAGACGAAAGCCAGACAGACAGACAGGCGGACGGGTACACAGACAAACAGACAGAAAAACAGACAGACAGACAGAAAAACAGACAGACAGAAAGACAAGCATGCATGCAGGCAGACAGACAAAGGGACAGACAGACGGACAGACATTCAACAGGCAGACAGACAGATGGACATACAGCCAGGCAGACAGAACCACAGACATACGGATAGGCATACAAGCAGACAGAAAGAAAAACAGGCGAATATACGGACAGGGAAATAGGCAGAAAGACAGACACTCAGGCAGACAGACAAAGAGGCAGAGAAAAAGGGTAGACAGACAGGCAGGCACACAGACAAACGGACAGGGAGACAGTCAGGCAGATGGGCAGACAGGCTTACAGGAAGGCAGACAGACTACAAGGCAGACGGACAGGAAGATAGACAGGCAGGACAGACGGACTACAGCCAGGCAGAAAGACAGCAAGGCAGACGGAGAGGCAGACAGACAGGAAGACAGCCGAAAAGACAGACAGACGGACAGAGATACGGTAAGACAGGAAGACGGACCGACGACAGACAAGCGGACAGACAGCCAGACGGACCGACGACAGAAAAGCGGACTGACGGATAGACAGAAAAGCAGAAAGACAGACCGCCAGGCAGATAAGCAGACTGACAGACATATAGGCAGAGAAGAAGTCAGAGAGAAAAGCAGTAAGACAGACAGACAAACAGATGGACAGGTAAACAGGCAGACAGATAGGGAGACAGACAGACAGATACATAATATATGCAAGGGACTTAACAATACATAACAAACTTGCATCGAAAGCACTGGCGGTGTTGTTTTAATCAAGTGTTTAAATCAGCGCGCTTTGGGCTTCGCTTGAATATACAGCTGTGGGTTAACAAGGAATTATACGTGGAACAGAGTGATCCTTTTCTGAGAGACAACCCTACCCTTATCTAGAAACTACAGATTTTCCTCATCAAACGCGTAAGAACCAACCCATAAGAATAGTTCATTGCCAGCATCCATTAGCATGACGTCACCAGAGTCCAAGTCATCTTAATTGTTCTCAGCCACTTCTTCAAACTTAATAATTCATTGGAGCTTAAACGGCAATAGAAAATGCGCGCCCAAGCTGCGATCGTACCAGCCTTTGCCTTATAACTCCTCCCAGAACTCATCTGACAAGCAGGCAAATGGACAGACAGAACGTCAGATGTTCCGACAGGCAGTCACACTGCACACAGACAGGCAGATATACCGGCTAACGGATTGGAAGGCAAACAGAGAGGCAGGCAAGCAGACAGACAGAAAGACAAGCAGGCCGACTGACAGACAGTCAAACAGACAGCAAGGAAGATGGACAGGCAGACAGACAGCCAGACAGACGGACATATAGCCAGGCAAAAAGACGGACAGACATACGGATATGTCTTCCAAGCAGGCGGACGGACAGACAGACAACCGGACAGACGAAAGCCAGACAGACAGACAGGCGGACGGGTACACAGACAAAACAACAAACAGACAGAAAGACAAGCATGCATGCAGGCAGACAGACAAAGGGACAGACAGACGGACATACCGCCGGCAGACAGACGGACAGACATACAACACGCAGACAGACAGACGGACATACAGCCAAGGCCAAGGATAAACTTTCAGCAGGTACCTCATTGGCATGCACATCGTTTTCTAAGGTACCTTGTATGCGGAAAAGTTGTGCAGCTACCGGGAGTGCCGTGTAGGATGTTATCAGCTGACCTGTAAATGTCTTATAGAAGTGGCGAGGCTCGTGGCCATGGTTGACCAAAACAAAAAGACCTTCCTGCTTTTCTGCGACATCTAGACCCATCTTCACGGCACCCTTCTCGGCGGCGGAGGAAGAGTTTATTCCCTACCAAATATACGTTATGGAACCAGTGTCTCCGTTTTTGTCCTCATAGTTATAAGTGAGAACGTATGAAGCGATTCCCTGAAGGGGGACGCTCTCCTCAAAAGACACGGTGTTGGCCAAGATTTCATCAGAGCCCGTCTTCGTAACATACTGGGTAATACAGTTTTGACCATGATCAGGCATGAAGCCGAAGGCCCGACCTCTCTTCTTCATCTGAGACACCACAGCGTCGATTTGGTTGACATCTAGTGATTCATAAGAGCCGATGTCCAAAGCCGAGCTAATGAGACGACTATGCTCCATTCCAACATCTGCTTAAATGGTGCAGACTCAGCGCCTTCTACAATGCGGTGAAATTGAGTCCAGGCCGGGTATTTTTTGCTGCATCAGTCTTCTCCTTTTGAGAGGCGCCCTTTCCGACCCAAACGAATATTCCGGAACCGGTGTCGAGGATAAAGCATTCGTGTGTGTCAAGTGTATTCTGGGTTAATGGTTTTTGGCTAATTACTTCGACTTTCAGTTTGCCACTGGAGTCGCTTACCTTGTAGAGGACAGACTGCGGTGATAGACAGGCCGGCAGACGAACAGGTAGATCGAAAGTGTATACAGACAGACGGACAGACAGTCTGGCAGGCATACAGACAGACAGGTAGACAGAGAGACACTCAGACAGCTAGATAGACAAGCTTACAGGAAAGACTGAAAGGCAGACGGATAGACATACAGGCATGTGGACAGGCAGATAGACAGACAGACAGGCGGACAGAAATACAAACAAGCAAGCAGGCAGCCACATAGCAGACAGACAAGCAGTCATACCGGCAAACGGATCAGAAGGAAGACAGAGAGGCAGACGGGGAAACGGGCAGGCAAACAGACAGACAGACAGATAGGCAGACATACGGACAGACAGGCAGACAGGCAAGCAGAGAGACAGATAGGCAGCTAGACGGACAGAAAGGCAGGCATTCAGACAGTCAGGCAAACAACCAAACAGGCAGATAAGAGAGAAAGGCTGTCAGACCAACAGGCAGACAGACAAGCAGACAGGCATTGAGGCAGACAGACAGAAAGACAAGCAGGCAGACTGACGGACTTACATACAGCAGAGCAGACGGACAAACAGACAGAAAGGCTGAAAAACAGGAATGCAGACAAGCAGGCAAATGGACAGACAAAACGTCAGATGGTCCGACAGGCAGTACCACTGCACACAGACAGGCAGACATACCGGCTAACGGATTGGAAGGCAAACAGAGAGGCAGACGGGCAGGCACACAGAAAGACATTCGGACAGACAGGCAGACAGACAGACAGAAAGACAAGCAGGCCGACTGACAGACAGTCAAACAGACAGCAAGGAAGATGGACAGGCAGACAGACAGACGGACATACAGCCAGGCAAAAAGACGGACAGGCATACGGATATGTCTGCCAAGCAGGCGGGCAGACAGACAGACAAACGGACAGACGAAAGCCAGACAGACAGACAGGCGGACGGGTACACAGACAAACAGACAGAAAAACAGACAGACAGACAGAAAAACAGACAGACAGAAAGACAAGCATGCATGCAGGCAGACAGACAGACGGACAGACATTCAACAGGCAGACAGACAGATGGACATACAGCCAGGCAGACAGAACCACAGACATACGGATAGGCATACAAGCAGACAGAAAGAAAAACAGGCGAATATACGGATAGGGAAATAGGCAGAAAGACAGACACTCAGGCAGACAGACAAAGAGGCAGAGAAAAAGGGTAGACAGACAGGCAGGCACACAGACAAACGGACAGGGAGACAGAGAGACAGTCAGGCAGATGGGCAGACAGGCTTACAGGAAGGCAGACAGACTACAAGGCAGACGGACAGGAAGATAGACAGGCAGGACAGACGGACTACAGCCAGGCAGAAAGACAGCAAGGCAGACGGAGAGGCAGACAGACAGGAAGACAGCCGAAAAGACAGACAGACGGACAGAGATACGGTAAGACAGGAAGACGGACCGACGACAGACAAGCGGACAGACAGCCAGACGGACCGACGACAGAAAAGCGGACTGACGGATAGACAGAAAAGCAGAAAGACAGACCGCCAGGCAGATAAGCAGACTGACAGACATATAGGCAGAGAAGAAGTCAGAGAGAAAAGCAGTAAGACAGACAGACAAACAGATGGACAGGTAAACAGGCAGACAGATAGGGAGACAGACAGACAGATACATAATATATGCAAGGGACTTAACAATACATAACAAACTTGCATCGAAAGCACTGGCGGTGTTGTTTTAATCAAGTGTTTAAATCAGCGCGCTTTGGGCTTCGCTTGAATATACAGCTGTGGGTTAACAAGGAATTATACGTGGAACAGAGTGATCCTTTTCTGAGAGACAACCCTACCCTTATCTAGAAACTACAGATTTTCCTCATCAAACGCGTAAGAACCAACCCATAAGAAAAGCTCATTGCCAGCATCCATTAGCATGACGTCACCAGAGTCCAAGTCATCTTAATTGTTCTCAGCCACTTCCTCAAACTTAATAATTCATTGGAGCTTAAACGGCAATAGAAAATGCGCGCCCAAGCTGCGATCGTACCAGCCTTTGCCTTATAACTCCTCCCAGAACTCATCTGACAAGCAGGCAAATGGACAGACAGAACGTCAGATGTTCCGACAGGCAGTCACACTGCACACAGACAGGCAGATATACCGGCTAACGGATTGGAAGGCAAACAGAGAGGCAGGCAAGCAGACAGACAGAAAGACAAGCAGGCCGACTGACAGACAGTCAAACAGACAGCAAGGAAGATGGACAGGCAGACAGACAGCCAGACAGACGGACATATAGCCAGGCAAAAAGACGGACAGACATACGGATATGTCTTCCAAGCAGGCGGGCGGACAGACAGACAAACGGACAGACGAAAGCCAGACAGACAGACAGGCGGACGGGTACACAGACAAAACAACAAACAGACAGAAAAACAGACAGACAGAAAGACAAGCATGCATGCAGGCAGACAGACAAAGGGACAGACAGACGGACATACCGCCGGCAGACAGACGGACAGACATACAACACGCAGACAGACAGACGGACATACAGCCAAGGCCAAGGATAAACTTTCAGCAGGTACCTCATTGGCATGCACATCGTTTTCTAAGGTACCTTGTATGCGGAAAAGTTGTGCAGCTACCGGGAGTACCGTGTAGGATGTTATCAACTGACCTGTAAATGTCTTATAGAAGTGGCGAGGCTGGTGGCCATGGTTGACCAACACAACAAAAAGACCTTCCTGCTTTTCTGCGACATCTAGACCCATCTTCACGGCACCCTTCTCGGCGGCGGAGGAAGAGTTTATTCCCTGCCAAACATACGTTATGGAACCAGTGTCTCCGTTTTTGTCCTCATAGTTATAAGTGAGAACGTATGAAGCGATTCCCTGAAGGGGGACGCTCTCCTCAAAAGACACGGTGTTGGCCAAGATTTCATCAGAGCCCGTCTTCGTAACATACTGGGTAATACAGTTTTGACCATGATCAGGCATGAAGCCGAAGGCCCGACCTCTCTTCTTCATCTGAGACACCACAGCGTCGATTTGGTTGACATCTAGTGATTCATAAGAGCCGATGTCCAAAGCCGAGCTAATGAGACGACTATGCTCCATTCCAACATCTGCTTAAATGGTGCAGACTCAGCGCCTTCTACAATGCGGTGAAATTGAGTCCAGGCCGGGTATTTTTTTGCTGCATCAGTCTTCTCCTTTTGAGAGGCGCCCTTTCCGACCCAAACGAATATTCCGGAACCGGTGTCGAGGATAAAGCATTCGTGTTTGTCAAGTGTATTCTGGGTTAATGGTTTTTGGCTAATTACTTCGACTTTCAGTTTGCCACTGGAGTCGCTTACCTTGTAGAGGACAGACTGCGGTGATAGACAGGCCGGCAGACGAACAGGTAGATCGAAAGTGTATACAGACAGACGGACAGACAGTCTGGCAGGCATACAGACAGACAGGTAGACAGAGAGACACTCAGACAGCTAGATAGACAAGCTTACAGGAAAGACTGAAAGGCAGACGGATAGACATACAGGCATGTGGACAGGCAGATAGACAGACAGACAGGCGGACAGAAATACAAACAAGCAAGCAGGCAGCCACATAGCAGACAGACAAGCAGTCATACCGGCAAACGGATCAGAAGGAAGACAGAGAGGCAGACGGGGAAACGGGCAGGCAAAAACAGACAGATAGGCAGACATACGGACAGACAGGCAGACAGGCAAGCAGAGAGACAGATAGGCAGCTAGACGGACAGAAAGGCAGGCATTCAGACAGTCAGGCAAACAACCAAACAGGCAGATAAGAGAGAAAGGCTGTCAGACCAACAGGCAGACAGACAAGCAGACAGGCATTGAGGCAGACAGACAGAAAGACAAGCAGGCAGACTGACGGACTTACATACAGCAGAGCAGACGGACAAACAGACAGAAAGGCTGAAAAACAGGAATGCAGACAAGCAGGCAAATGGACAGACAAAACGTCAGATGGTCCGACAGGCAGTACCACTGCACACAGACAGGCAGACATACCGGCTAACGGATTGGAAGGCAAACAGAGAGGCAGACGGGCAGGCACACAGAAAGACATTCGGACAGACAGGCAGACAGACAGACAGAAAGACAAGCAGGCCGACTGACAGACAGTCAAACAGACAGCAAGGAAGATGGACAGGCAGACAGACAGACGGACATACAGCCAGGCAAAAAGACGGACAGGCATACGGATATGTCTGCCAAGCAGGCGGGCAGACAGACAGACAAACGGACAGACGAAAGCCAGACAGACAGACAGGCGGACGGGTACACAGACAAACAGACAGAAAAACAGACAGACAGACAGAAAAACAGACAGACAGAAAGACAAGCATGCATGCAGGCAGACAGACAAAGGGACAGACAGACGGACAGACATTCAACAGGCAGACAGACAGATGGACATACAGCCAGGCAGACAGAACCACAGACATACGGATAGGCATACAAGCAGACAGAAAGAAAAACAGGCGAATATACGGACAGGGAAATAGGCAGAAAGACAGACACTCAGGCAGACAGACAAAGAGGCAGAGAAAAAGGGTAGACAGACAGGCAGGCACACAGACAAACGGACAGGGAGACAGAGAGACAGTCAGGCAGATGGGCAGACAGGCTTACAGGAAGGCAGACAGACTACAAGGCAGACGGACAGGAAGATAGACAGGCAGGACAGACGGACTACAGCCAGGCAGAAAGACAGCAAGGCAGACGGAGAGGCAGACAGACAGGAAGACAGCCGAAAAGACAGACAGACGGACAGAGATACGGTAAGATAGGAAGACGGACCGACGACAGACAAGCGGACAGACAGCCAGACGGACCGACGACAGAAAAGAGGACTGACGGATAGACAGAAAAGCAGAAAGACATATAGGCAGAGAAGAAGTCAGAGAGAAAAGCAGTAAGACAGACAGACAAACAGATGGACAGGTAAACAGGCAGACAGATAGGGAGACAGACAGACAGATACATAATATATGCAAGGGACTTAACAATACATAACAAACTTGCATCGAAAGCACTGGCGGTGTTGTTTTAATCAAGTGTTTAAATCAGCGCGCTTTGGGCTTCGCTTGAATATACAGCTGTGGGTTAACAAGGAATTATACGTGGAACAGAGTGATCCTTTTCTGAGAGACAACCCTACCCTTATCTAGAAACTACAGATTTTCCTCATCAAACGCGTAAGAACCAACCCATAAGAAAAGCTCATTGCCAGCATCCATTAGCATGACGTCACCAGAGTCCAAGTCATCTTAATTGTTCTCAGCCACTTCCCTCAAACTTAATAATTCATTGGAGCTTAAACGGCAATAGAAAATGCGCGCCCAAGCTGCGATCGTACCAGCCTTTGCCTTATAACTCCTCCCAGAACTCATCTGACAAGCAGGCAAATGGACAGACAGAACGTCAGATGTTCCGACAGGCAGTCACACTGCACACAGACAGGCAGATATACCGGCTAACGGATTGGAAGGCAAACAGAGAGGCAGGCAAGCAGACAGACAGAAAGACAAGCAGGCCGACTGACAGACAGTCAAACAGACAGCAAGGAAGATGGACAGGCAGACAGACAGCCAGACAGACGGACATATAGCCAGGCAAAAAGACGGACAGACATACGGATATGTCTTCCAAGCAGGCGGGCAGACAGACAGACAAACGGACAGACGAAAGCCAGACAGACAGACAGGCGGACGGGTACACAGACAAAACAACAAACAGACAGAAAAACAGACAGACAGAAGGACAAGCATGCATGCAGGCAGACAGACAAAGGGACAGACAGACGGACATACCGCCGGCAGACAGACGGACAGACATACAACACGCAGACAGACAGACGGACATACAGCCAAGGCCAAGGATAAACTTTCAGCAGGTACCTCATTGGCATGCACATCGTTTTCTAAGGTACCTTGTATGCGGAAAAGTTGTGCAGCTACCGGGAGTGCCGTGTAGGATGTTATCAACTGACCTGTAAATGTCTTATAGAAGTGGCGAGGCTGGTGGCCATGGTTGACCAACACAAAAAGACCTTCCTGCTTTTCTGCGACATCTAGACCCATCTTCACGGCACCCTTCTCGTCGGCGGAGGAAGAGTTTATTCCCTGCCAAACATACGTTATGGAACCAGTGTCTCCGTTTTTGTCCTCATAGTTATAAGTGAGAACGTATGAAGCGATTCCCTGAAGGGGGACGCTCTCCTCAAAAGACACGGTGTTGGCCAAGATTTCATCAGAGCCCGTCTTCGTAACATACTGGGTAATACAGTTTTGACCATGATCAGGCATGAAGCCGAAGGCCCGACCTCTCTTCTTCATCTGAGACACCACAGCGTCGATTTGGTTGACATCTAGTGATTCATAAGAGCCGATGTCCAAAGCCGAGCTAATGAGACGACTATGCTCCATTCCAACATCTGCTTAAATGGTGCAGACTCAGCGCCTTCTACAATGCGGTGAAATTGAGTCCAGGCCGGGTATTTTTTGCTGCATCAGTCTTCTCCTTTTGAGAGGCGCCCTTTCCGACCCAAACGAATATTCCGGAACCGGTGTCGAGGATAAAGCATTCGTGTTTGTCAAGTGTATTCTGGGTTAATGGTTTTTGGCTAATTACTTCGACTTTCAGTTTGCCACTGGAGTCGCTTACCTTGTAGAGGACAGACTGCGGTGATAGACAGGCCGGCAGACGAACAGGTAGATCGAAAGTGTATACAGACAGACGGACAGACAGTCTGGCAGGCATACAGACAGACAGGTAGACAGAGAGACACTCAGACAGCTAGATAGACAAGCTTACAGGAAAGACTGAAAGGCAGACGGATAGACATACAGGCATGTGGACAGGCAGATAGACAGACAGACAGGCGGACAGAAATACAAACAAGCAAGCAGGCAGACAGACAGGCAGCCCGCGACGCGTCCCGGCCGGTCGGGAAGACAGAGAGGCAGACGGGGGAAACGGGCAGGCAAACAGACAGACAGACAGATAGGCAGACATACGGACAGACAGGCAGACAGGCAAGCAGAGAGACAGATAGGCAGCTAGACGGACAGAAAGGCAGGCATTCAGACAGTCAGGCAAACAACCAAACAGGCAGATAAGAGAGAAAGGCTGTCAGACCAAGAGGCAGACAGACAAGCAGACAGGCATTGAGGCAGACAGACAGAAAGACAAGCAGGCAGACTGACGGACTTACATACAGCAGAGCAGACGGACAAACAGACAGAAAGGCTGAAAAACAGGAATGCAGACAAGCAGGCAAATGGACAGACAAAACGTCAGATGGTCCGACAGGCAGTACCACTGCACACAGACAGGCAGACATACCGGCTAACGGATTGGAAGGCAAACAGAGAGGCAGACGGGCAGGCACACAGAAAGACATTCGGACAGACAGGCAGACAGACAGACAGAAAGACAAGCAGGCCGACTGACAGACAGTCAAACAGACAGCAAGGAAGATGGACAGGCAGACAGACAGACGGACATACAGCCAGGCAAAAAGACGGACAGGCATACGGATATGTCTGCCAAGCAGGCGGGCCAGCAAACGGACAGACGAAAGCCAGACAGACAGACAGGCGGACGGGTACACAGACAAACAGACAGAAAAACAGACAGACAGACAGAAAAACAGACAGACAGAAAGACAAGCATGCATGCAGGCAGACAGACAAAGGGACAGACAGACGGACAGACATTCAACAGGCAGACAGACAGATGGACATACAGCCAGGCAGACAGAACCACAGACATACGGATAGGCATACAAGCAGACAGAAAGAAAAACAGGCGAATATACGGACAGGGAAATAGGCAGAAAGACAGACACTCAGGCAGACAGACAAAGAGGCAGAGAAAAAGGGTAGACAGACAGGCAGGCACACAGACAAACGGACAGGGAGACAGAGAGACAGTCAGGCAGATGGGCAGACAGGCTTACAGGAAGGCAGACAGACTACAAGGCAGACGGACAGGAAGATAGACAGGCAGGACAGACGGACTACAGCCAGGCAGAAAGACAGCAAGGCAGACGGAGAGGCAGACAGACAGGAAGACAGCCGAAAAGACAGACAGACGGACAGAGATACGGTAAGACAGGAAGACGGACCGACGACAGACAAGCGGACAGACAGCCAGACGGACCGACGACAGAAAAGCGGACTGACGGATAGACAGAAAAGCAGAAAGACAGACCGCCAGGCAGATAAGCAGACTGACAGACATATAGGCAGAGAAGATGTCAGAGAGAAAAGCAGTAAGACAGACAGACAAACAGATGGACAGGTAAACAGGCAGACAGATAGGGAGACAGACAGACAGATACATAATATATGCAAGGGACTTAACAATACATAACAAACTTGCATCGAAAGCACTGGCGGTGTTGTTTTAATCAAGTGTTTAAATCAGCGCGCTTTGGGCTTCGCTTGAATATACAGCTGTGGGTTAACAAGGAATTATACGTGGAACAGAGTGATCCTTTTTTGAGAGACAACCCTACCCTTATCTAGAAACTACAGATTTTCCTCATCAAACGCGTAAGAACCAACCCATAAGAAAAGCTCATTGCCAGCATCCATTAGCATGACGTCACCAGAGTCCAAGTCATCTTAATTGTTCTCAGCCACTTCCTCAAACTTAATAATTCATTGGAGCTTAAACGGCAATAGAAAATGCGCGCCCAAGCTGCGATCGTACCAGCCTTTGCCTTATAACTCCTCCCAGAACTCATCTGACAAGCAGGCAAATGGACAGACAGAACGTCAGATGTTCCGACAGGCAGTCACACTGCACACAGACAGGCAGCCATACCGGCTAACGGATTGGAAGGCAAACAGAGAGGCAGGCAAGCAGACAGACAGACAGAAAGACAAGCAGGCCGACTGACAGACAGTCAAACAGACAGCAAGGAAGATGGACAGGCAGACAGACAGCCAGACAGACGGACATATAGCCAGGCAAAAGACGGCCAGACATACGGATATGTCTTCCAAACAGGCGGGCGGACAGACAGACAACCGGACAGACGAAAGCCAGACAGACAGACAGGAGGACGGGTACACAGACAAAACAACAAACAGACAGAAAAACAAGCATGCATGCAGGCAGACAAACAAAGGGACAGACAGACGGACATACCGCCGGCAGACAGACGGACAGACATACAACACGCAGACAGACAGACGGACATACAGCCAAGGCCAAGGTTAAACTTTCAGCAGGAACCTCATTGGCATGCACATCGTTTTCTAAGGTACCTTGTATGCGGAAAAAGTTGTGCAGCTACCGGGAGTACCGTGTAGGATGTTATCAACTGACCTGTAAATGTCTTATAGAAGTGGCGAGGCTGGTGGCCATGGTTGACCAACACAAAAAGACCTTCCTGCTTTTCTGCGACATCTAGACCCATCTTCACGGCACCCTTCTCGGCGGCGGAGGAAGAGTTTATTCCCTGCCAAACATACGTTATGGAACCAGTGTCTCCGTTTTTGTCCTCATAGTTATAAGTGAGAACGTATGAAGCGATTCCCTGAAGGGGGACGCTCTCCTCAAAAGACACGGTGTTGGCCAAGATTTCATCAGAGCCCGTCTTCGTAACATACTGGGTAATACAGTTTTGACCATGATCAGGCATGAAGCCGAAGGCCCGACCTCTCTTCTTCATCTGAGACACCACAGCGTCGATTTGGTTGACATCTAGTGATTCATAAGAGCCGATGTCCAAAGCCGAGCTAATGAGACGACTATGCTCCATTCCAACATCTGCTTAAATGGTGCAGACTCAGCGCCTTCTACAATGCGGTGAAATTGAGTCCAGGCCGGGTATTTTTTTGCTGCATCAGTCTTCTCCTTTTGAGAGGCGCCCTTTCCGACCCAAACGAATATTCCGGAACCGGTGTCGAGGATAAAGCATTCGTGCGTGTCAAGTGTATTCTGGGTTAATGATTTTTGGCTAATTACTTCGACTTTCAGTTTGCCACTGGAGTCGCTTACCTTGTAGAGGACAGACTGCGGTGATAGACAGGCCGGCAGACGAACAGGTAGATCGAAAGTGTATACAGACAGACGGACAGACAGTCTGGCAGGCATACAGACAGACAGGTAGACAGAGAGACACTCAGACAGCTAGATAGACAAGCTTACAGGAAAGACTGAAAGGCAGACGGATAGACATACAGGCATGTGGACAGGCAGATAGACAGACAGACAGGCGGACAGAAATACAAACAAGCAAGCAGGCAGACAGACAGGCAGCCACATAGCAGACAGACAAGCAGTCATACCGGCAAACGGATCAGAAGGAAGACAGAGAGGCAGGCGGGGAAACGGGCAGGCAAACAGACAGATAGGCAGACATACGGACAGACAGGCAGATAGGCAAGCAGAGAGACAGATAGGCAGCTAGACGGACAGAAAGGCAGGCATTCAGACAGTCAGGCAAACAACCAAACAGGCAGATAAGAGAGAAAGGCTGTCAGACCAACAGGCAGACAGACAAGCAGACAGGCATTGAGGCAGACAGACAGAAAGACAAGCAGGCAGACTGACGGACTTACATACAGCAGAGCAGACGGACAAACAGACAGAAAGGCTGAAAAACAGGAATGCAGACAAGCAGGCAAATGGACAGACAAAACGTCAGATGGCCCGACAGGCAGTACCACTGCACACAGACAGGCAGACATACCGGCTAACGGATTGGAAGGCAAACAGAGAGGCAGACGGGCAGGCACACAGAAAGACATTCGGACAGACAGGCAGACAGACAGACAGAAAGACAAGCAGGCCGACTGACAGACAGTCAAACAGACAGCAAGGAAGATGGACAGGCAGACAGACAGACGGACATACAGCCAGGCAAAAAGACGGACAGGCATACGGATATGTCTGCCAAGCAGGCGGGCAGACAGACAGACAAACGGACAGACGAAAGCCAGACAGACAGACAGGCGGACGGGTACACAGACAAACAGACAGAAAAACAGACAGACAGACAGAAAAACAGACAGACAGAAAGACAAGCATGCATGCAGGCAGACAGACAAAGGGACAGACAGACGGACAGACATTCAACAGGCAGACAGACAGATGGACATACAGCCAGGCAGACAGAACCACAGACATACGGATAGGCATACAAGCAGACAGAAAGAAAAACAGGCGAATATACGGACAGGGAAATAGGCAGAAAGACAGACACTCAGGCAGACAGACAAAGAGGCAGAGAAAAAGGGTAGACAGACAGGCAGGCACACAGACAAACGGACAGGGAGACAGAGAGACAGTCAGGCAGATGGGCAGACAGGCTTACAGGAAGGCAGACAGACTACAAGGCAGACGGACAGGAAGATAGACAGGCAGGACAGACGGACTACAGCCAGGCAGAAAGACAGCAAGGCAGACGGAGAGGCAGACTGACAGGAAGACAGCCGAAAAAGACAGACAGACGGACAGAGATACGGTAAGACAGGAAGACGGACCGACGACAGACAAGCGGACAGACAGCCAGACGGACCGACGACAGAAAAGCGGACTGACGGATAGACAGAAAAGCAGAAAGACAGACCGCCAGGCAGATAAGCAGACTGACAGACATATAGGCAGAGAAGATGTCAGAGAGAAAAGCAGTAAGACAGACAGACAAACAGATGGACAGGTAAACAGGCAGACAGATAGGGAGACAGACAGACAGATACATAATATATGCAAGGGACTTAACAATACATAACAAACTTGCATCGAAAGCACTGGCGGTGTTGTTTTAATCAAGTGTTTAAATCAGCGCGCTTTGGGCTTCGCTTGAATATACAGCTGTGGGTTAACAAGGAATTATACGTGGAACAGAGTGATCCTTTTTGAGAGACAACCCTACCCTTATCTAGAAACTACAGATTTTCCTCATCAAACGCGTAAGAACCAACCCATAAGAAAAGCTCATTGCCAGCATCCATTAGCATGACGTCACCAGAGTCCAAGTCATCTTAATTGTTCTCAGCCACTTCCTCAAACTTAATAATTCATTGGAGCTTAAACGGCAATAGAAAATGCGCGCCCAAGCTGCGATCGTACCAGCCTTTGCCTTATAACTCCTCCCAGAACTCATCTGACAAGCAGGCAAATGGACAGACAGAACGTCAGATGTTCCGACAGGCAGTCACACTGCACACAGACAGGCAGCCATACCGGCTAACGGATTGGAAGGCAAACAGAGAGGCAGGCAAGCAGACAGACAGAAAGACAAGCAGGCCGACTGACAGACAGTCAAACAGACAGCAAGGAAGATGGACAGGCAGACAGACAGCCAGACAGACGGACATATAGCCAGGCAAAAAGACGGCCAGACATACGGATATGTCTTCCAAACAGGCGGGCGGACAGACAGACAAACGGACAGACGAAAGCCAGACAGACAGACAGGCGGACGGGTACACAGACAAAACAACAAACAGACAGAAAAACAAGCATGCATGCAGGCAGACAAACAAAGGGACAGACAGACGGACATACCGCCGGCAGACAGACGGACAGACATACAACACGCAGACAGACAGACGGACATACAGCCAAGGCCAAGGTTAAACTTTCAGCAGGAACCTCATTGGCATGCACATCGTTTTCTAAGGTACCTTGTATGCGGAAAAGTTGTGCAGCTACCGGGAGTACCGTGTAGGATGTTATCAACTGACCTGTAAATGTCTTATAGAAGTGGCGAGGCTGGTGGCCATGGTTGACGAACACAAAAAGACCTTCCTGCTTTTCTGCGACATCTAGACCCATCTTCACGGCACCCTTCTCGGCGGCGGAGGAAGAGTTTATTCCCTGCCAAACATACGTTATGGAACCAGTGTCTCCGTTTTTGTCCTCATAGTTATAAGTGAGAACGTATGAAGCGATTCCCTGAATGGGGACGCTCTCCTCAAAAGACACGGTGTTGGCCAAGATTTCATCAGAGCCCGTCTTCGTAACATACTGGGTAATACAGTTTTGACCATGATCAGGCATGAAGCCGAAGGCCCGACCTCTCTTCTTCATCTGAGACACCACAGCGTCGATTTGGTTGACATCTAGTGATTCATAAGAGCCGATGTCCAAAGCCGAGCTAATGAGACGACTATGCTCCATTCCAACATCTGCTTAAATGGTGCAGACTCAGCGCCTTCTACAATGCGGTGAAATTGAGTCCAGGCCGGGTATTTTTTGCTGCATCAGTCTTCTCCTTTTGAGAGGCGCCCTTTCCGACCCAAACGAATATTCCGGAACCGGTGTCGAGGATAAAGCATTCGTGCGTGTCAAGTGTATTCTGGGTTAATGATTTTTGGCTAATTACTTCGACTTTCAGTTTGCCACTGGAGTCGCTTACCTTTGTAGAGGACAGACTGCGGTGATAGACAGGCCGGCAGACGAACAGGTAGATCGAAAGTGTATACAGACAGACGGACAGACAGTCTGGCAGGCATACAGACAGACAGGTGGACAGAGAGACACTCAGACAGCTAGATAGACAAGCTTACAGGAAAGACTGAAAGGCAGACGGATAGACATACAGGCATGTGGACAGGCAGATAGACAGACAGACAGGCGGACAGAAATACAAACAAGCAAGCAGGCAGACAGACAGGCAGCCACATAGCAGACAGACAAGCAGTCATACCGGCAAACGGATCAGAAGGAAGACAGAGAGGCAGACGGGGAAACGGACAGGCAAACAGACAGATAGGCAGACATACGGACAGACAGGCAGACAGGCAAGCAGAGAGACAGATAGGCAGCTAGACGGACAGAAAGGCAGGCATTCAGACAGTCAGGCAAACAACCAAACAGGCAGATAAGAGAGAAAGGCTGTCAGACCAACAGGCAGACAGACAAGCAGACAGGCATTGAGGCAGACAGACAGAAAGACAAGCAGGCAGACTGACGGACTTACATACAGCAGAGCAGACGGACAAACAGACAGAAAGGCTGAAAAACAGGAATGCAGACAAGCAGGCAAATGGACAGACACTGCACACAGACAGGCAGACATACCGGCTAACGGATTGGAAGGCAAACAGAGAGGCAGACGGGCAGGCACACAGAAAGACATTCGGACAGACAGGCAGACAGACAGACAGAAAGACAAGCAGGCCGACTGACAGACAGTCAAACAGACAGCAAGGAAGATGGACAGGCAGACAGACAGACGGACATACAGCCAGGCAAAAGATGGACAGGCATACGGATATGTCTGCCAAGCAGGCGGGCAGACAGACAGACAAACGGACAGACGAAAGCCAGACAGACAGACAGGCGGACGGGTACACAGACAAACAGACAGAAAAACAGACAGACAGACAGAAAAACAGACAGACAGAAAGACAAGCATGCATGCAGGCAGACAGACAAAGGGACAGACAGACGGACAGACATTCAACAGGCAGACAGACAGATGGACATACAGCCAGGCAGACAGAACCACAGACATACGGATAGGCATACAAGCAGACAGAAAGAAAAACAGGCGAATATACGGACAGGGAAATAGGCAGAAAGACAGACACTCAGGCAGAGAAAAAGGGTAGACAGACAGGCAGGCACACAGACAAACGGACAGGGAGACAGAGAGACAGTCAGGCAGATGGGCAGACAGGCTTACAGGAAGGCAGACAGACTACAAGGCAGACGGACAGGAAGATAGACAGGCAGGACAGACGGACTACAGCCAGGCAGAAAGACAGCAAGGCAGACGGAGAGGCAGACAGACAGGAAGACAGCCGAAAAGACAGACAGACGGACAGAGATACGGTAAGACAGGAAGACGGACCGACGACAGACAAGCGGACAGACAGCCAGACGGACCGACGACAGAAAAGCGGACTGACGGATAGACAGAAAATCAGAAAGACAGACCGCCAGGCAGATAAGCAGACTGACAGACATATAGGCAGAGAAAAGCAGTAAGACAGACAGACAAACAGATGGACAGGTAAACAGACAGACAGATCGGGAGACAGACAGACAGATACATAATATATGCAAGGGACTTAACAATACATAACAAACTTGCATCGAAAGCACTGGCGGTGTTGTTTTAATCAAGTGTTTAAATCAGCGCGCTTTGGGCTTCGCTTGAATATACAGCTGTGGGTTAACAAGGAATTATACGTGGAACAGAGTGATCCTTTTCTGAGAGACAGCCCTACCCTTATCTAGAAACTACAGATTTTCCTCATCAAACGCGTAAGAACCAACCCATAAGAATAGCTCATTGCCAGCATCCATTAGCATGACGTCACCAGAGTCCAAGTCATCTTAATTGTTCTCAGCCACTTCCTCAAACTTAATAATTCATTGGAGCTTAAACGGCAATAGAAAATGCGCGCCCAAGCTGCGATCGTACCAGCCTTTGCGTTATAACTCCTCCCAGAACTCATCTGACAAGCAGGCAAATGGACAGACAGAACGTCAGATGTTCCGACAGGCAGTCACACTGCACACAGACAGGCAGCCATACCGGCTAACGGATTGGAAGGCAAACAGAGAGGCAGGCAAGCAGACAGACAGAAAGACAAGCAGGCCGACTGACAGACAGTCAAACAGACAGCAAGGAAGATGGACAGGCAGACAGACAGCCAGACAGACGGACATATAGCCAGGCAAAAGACGGACAGACATACGGATATGTCTTCCAAGCAGGCGGGCGGACAGACAGACAAACGGACAGACGAAAGCCAGACAGACAGACAGGCGGACGGGTACACAGACAAAACAACAAACAGACAGAAAAACAGACAGACAGAAAGACAAGCATGCATGCAGGCAGACAGACAAAGGGACAGACAGACGGACATACCGCCGGCAGACAGACGGACAGACATACAACACGCAGACAGACAGACGGACATACAGCCAAGGCCAAGGTTAAACTTTCAGCAGGTACCTCATTGGCATGCACATCGTTTTCTAAGGTACCTTGTATGCGGAAAAGTTGTGCAGCTACCGGGAGTGCCGTGTAGGATGTTATCAACTGACCTGTAAATGTCTTATAGAAGTGGCGAGGCTCGTGGCCATGGTTGACCAACACAAAAAGACCTTCCTGCTTTTCTGCGACATCTAGACCCATCTTCACGGCACCCTTCTCGGCGGCGGAGGAAGAGTTTATTCCCTGCCAAACATACGTTATGGAACCAGTGTCTCCGTTTTTGTCCTCATAGTTATAAGTGAGAACGTATGAAGCGATTCCCTGAAGGGGGACGCTCTCCTCAAAAGACACGGTGTTGGCCAAGATTTCATCAGAGCCCGTCTTCGTAACATACTGGGTAATACAGTTTTGACCATGATCAGGCATGATCAGGCCGGCAGACGAACAGGTAGATCGAAAGTGTATACAGACAGACTGACAGACAGTCTGGCAGGCATACAGACAGACAGGTAGACAGAGAGACACTCAGACAGCTAGATAGACAAGCTTACAGGAAAGACTGAAAGGCAGACGGATAGACATACAGGCATGTGGACAGGCAGATAGACAGACAGACAGGCGGACAGAAATACAAACAAGCAAGCAGGCAGACAGACAGGCAGCCACATAGCAGACAGACAAGCAGTCATACCGGCAAACGGATCAGAAGGAAGACAGAGAGGCAGACGGGGAAACGGGCAGGCAAACAGACAGACAGACAGATAGGCAGACATACGGACAGACAGGCAGACATGCAAGCAGAGAGACAGATAGACAGCTAGACGGACAGAAAGGCAGGCATTCAGACAGTCAGGCAAACAACCAAACAGGCAGATAAGAGAGAAAGGCTGTCAGACCAACAGGCAGACAGACAAGCAGACAGGCATTGAGGCAGACAGACAGAAAGACAAGCAGGCAGACTGACGGACTTACATACAGCAGAGCAGACGGACAAACAGACAGAAAGGCTGAAAAACAGGAATGCAGACAAGCAGGCAAATGGACAGACAAAACGTCAGATGGCCCGACAGGCAGTACCACTGCACACAGACAGGCAGACATACCGGCTAACGGATTGGAAGGCAAACAGAGAGGCAGACGGGCAGGCACACAGAAAGACATTCGGACAGACAGGCAGACAGACAGACAGAAAGACAAGCAGGCCGACTGACAGACAGTCAAACAGACAGCAAGGAAGATGGACAGGCAGACAGACAGACGGACATACAGCCAGGCAAAAAGACGGACAGGCATACGGATATGTCTGCCAAGCAGGCGGGCCAAACGGACAGACGAAAGCCAGACAGACAGACAGGCGGACGGGTACACAGACAAACAGACAGAAAAACAGACAGACAGACAGAAAAACAGACAGACAGAAAGACAAGCATGCATGCAGGCAGACAGACAAAGGGACAGACAGACGGACAGACATTCAACAGGCAGACAGACAGATGGACATACAGCCAGGCAGACAGAACCACAGACATACGGATAGGCATACAAGCAGACAGAAAGAAAAACAGGCGAATATACGGACAGGGAAATAGGCAGAAAGACAGACACTCAGGCAGACAGACAAAGAGGCAGAGAAAAAGGGTAGACAGACAGGCAGGCACACAGACAAACGGACAGGGAGACAGAGAGACAGTCAGGCAGATGGGCAGACAGGCTTACAGGAAGGCAGACAGACTACAAGGCAGACGGACAGGAAGATAGACAGGCAGGACAGACGGACTACAGCCAGGCAGAAAGACAGCAAGGCAGACGGAGAGGCAGACAGACAGGAAGACAGCCGAAAAGACAGACAGACGGACAGAGATACGGTAAGACAGGAAGACGGACCGACGACAGACAAGCGGACAGACAGCCAGACGGACCGACGACAGAAAAGCGGACTGACGGATAGACAGAAAAGCAGAAAGACAGACCGCCAGGCAGATAAAGCAGACTGACAGACATATAGGCAGAGAAGATGTCAGAGAGAAAAGCAGTAAGACAGACAGACAAACAGATGGACAGGTAAACAGGCAGACAGATAGGGAGACAGACAGACAGATACATAATATATGCAAGGGACTTAACAATACATAACAAACTTGCATCGAAAGCACTGGCGGTGTTGTTTTAATCAAGTGTTTAAATCAGCGCGCTTTGGGCTTCGCTTGAATATACAGCTGTGGGTTAACAAGGAATTATACGTGGAACAGAGTGATCCTTTTTTGAGAGACAACCCTACCCTTATCTAGAAACTACAGATTTTCCTCATCAAACGCGTAAGAACCAACCCATAAGAAAAAGCTCATTGCCAGCATCCATTAGCATGACGTCACCAGAGTCCAAGTCATCTTAATTGTTCTCAGCCACTTCCTCAAACTTAATAATTCATTGGAGCTTAAACGGCAATAGAAAATGCGCGCCCAAGCTGCGATCGTACCAGCCTTTGCCTTATAACTCCTCCCAGAACTCATCTGACAAGCAGGCAAATGGACAGACAGAACGTCAGATGTTCCGACAGGCAGTCACACTGCACACAGACAGGCAGCCATACCGGCTAACGGATTGGAAGGCAAACAGAGAGGCAGGCAAGCAGACAGACAGAAAGACAAGCAGGCCGACTGACAGACAGTCAAACAGACAGCAAGGAAGATGGACAGGCAGACAGACAGCCAGACAGACGGACATATAGCCAGGCAAAAAGACGGACAGACATACGGATATGTCTTCCAAGCAGGCGGGCGGACAGACAGACAAACGGACAGACGAAAGCCAGACAGACAGACAGGCGGACGGGTACACAGACAAAACAACAAACAGAAAGAAAAACAGACAGACAGAAAGACAAGCATGCATGCAGGCAGACAGACAAAGGGACAGACAGACGGACATACCGCCGGCAGACAGACGGACAGACATACAACACGCAGACAGACAGACGGACATACAGCCAAGGCCAAGGTTAAACTTTCAGCAGGTACCTCATTGGCATGCACATCGCTTTCTACAGTGCCTCGTATGCGGAAAAGTTGTGCAGCTACCGGGAGTGCCGTGTAGGATGTTATCAACTGTCCTTTAAATATCTTATAGAAGTGGCGAGGCTCGTGGCCATGGTTGACCAACACAAAAAGACCTTCCTGCTTTTCTGCGACATCTAGACCCATCTTCACGGCACCCTTCTCGGCGGCGGAGGAAGAGTTTATTCCCTGCCAAACATACGTTATGGAACCAGTGTCTCCGTTTTTGTCCTCATAGTTATAAGTGAGAACGTATGAAGCGATTCCCTGAAGGGGGACGCTCTCCTCAAAAGACACGGTGTTGGCCAAGATTTCATCAGAGCCCGTCTTCGTAACATACTGGGTAATACAGTTTTGACCATGATCAGGCATGATCAGGCCGGCAGACGAACAGGTAGATCGAAAGTGTATACAGACAGACTGACAGACAGTCTGGCAGGCATACAGACAGACAGGTAGACAGAGAGACACTCAGACAGCTAGATAGACAAGCTTACAGGAAAGACTGAAAGGCAGACGGATAGACATACAGGCATGTGGACAGGCAGATAGACAGACAGACAGGCGGACAGAAATACAAACAAGCAAGCAGGCAGACAGACAGGCAGCCACATAGCAGACAGACAAGCAGTCATACCGGCAAACGGATCAGATGGAAAACAGAGAAGCAGACGGGGAAATGGGCAGGCAAACAGACAGACAAACAGATAGGCAGACATACGGACCGACAGGCAGACAGGCAAGCAGAGAGACAGATAGGCAGCTAGACGGACAGAAAGGCAGGCATTCAGACAGTCAGGCAAACAACCAAACAGGCAGATAAGAGAGAAAGGCCGTCAGACCAACAGGCAGACAGACAAGCAGACAGGCATTGAGGCAGACAGACAGAAAGACAAGCAGGCAAATGGACAGACAAAACGTCAGATTGTCCGACAGGCAGTACAACTGCACACATACAGGCATACCGGCTAACGAATTGGAAGGCAAACAGAGAGGCAGACGGGCAGGCACACAGACAGACATACGGACAGACAGGCAGACAGACAGGCAGACAGACAGGCAGACAGACAGACAGAAAGACAAGCAGGCCGACTGACAGACAGTCAAACAGACAGCAAGGAAGATGGACAGGCAGACAGACAGACGGACATACAGCCAGGGAAAAAGACGGACAGACATACGGATATGTCTGCCAAGCAGGCGGGCAGACAGACACACAAACGGACAGACGAAAGCCAGAGAGACAGACAGGCGGACGGGTGCACAGACAGACAGAAAAACAGACAGACAGAAAGACAAGCATGCATGCAGGCAGACAGACAAAGGGACAGACAGACGGACAGACATTCAACAGGCAGACAGACAGACGGACATACAGCCAGGCAGACAGAACCACAGACATTCGGATAGGCATACAAGCAGACAGAAAGAAAAACAGGCGAATATACGGACAGGGAAATAGGCAGAAAGGCAGACATTCAGGCAGACAGACAAAGAGGCAGAGAAAAAGGGTAGACAGACAGGCAGGCACACAGACAGACGGACAGGGAGACAGAGAGACAGTCAGACAGATGGGCAGACAGGCTTACAGGAAGGCAGACAGACTACAAGGCAGACGGACAGGAAGACAGACAGGACTACAGCCAGGCAGAAAGACAGCAAGGCAGACGGAGAGGCAGACAGACAGGAAGACAGCCGAAAAGACAGACAGACAGACAGAGATACGGTCAGACAGGCAGACGGACCGACGACAGACAAGCGGACAGACAGCCAGACGGACCGACGACAGAAAAGCGGACTGACGGCTAGACAGAAAAGCGGAAAGACAGACGGCCAGGCAGATAAGCAGACTGACAGATATGCAGGCAGACAGGCATTCAGAGTGTCAGGCAAACAGTCATACGGCAGAGAAGAAGTAAGAGAGAAAGGCAGTAAGACAGACAGACAAACAGATGGACAGGTAAACAGGCAGACAGATAGGGAGATAGACAGACAGATACATAATATATGCAAGGGACTTAACAATACATAACAAACTAGCATCGAAAGCACCGGCGGTGTTGTTTTAATCAAGTGTTTAAATCAGCGCGCTTTTGGCTCCGCTTGAATATACAGCTGTGGGCTAACAAAGAATTATATGTGGAACAGAGTGATCCTTTTCTGAGAGACAACCCTACCCTTATCTAGAAACTACAGATTTTCCTCATCAAACGCGTAAGAACCAACCCATAAGAATAGCTCATTGCCAGCATCCATTAGCATGACGTCACCAGAGTCCAAGTCATCTTAATTGTTCTCAGCCACTTCCTCGAACTTAATAATTCATTGGTGCTTAAACGGCAATAGAAAATGCGCGCCCAAGCTGCGATCGTACCAGCCTTTGCCTTATAACTCCTCCCAGAACTCATCTGACTTCTCCACATGCCGTACAGGATCAACAGCAGACGGACAGACAGAAAGAAAAGCTGGCAGGCGGACAGGCAAACAGACATACAGGCAGACAAGAAGTCAGAGAGAAAGACAGACATGTAGACAGACAAACAGACGGACAGACAAGCAGGCAGACAGATAAGAAGACAGACGTACGGGCAGACAGACGGACAGGCAGGCAGACAGATACATAATATATGCAAGGGCCTTAACAAGTCGTGCAAGAGCCAACCCATAAGTAGAGCTCATCTCCAGCATCCATTAGCATGATATCATCGGAGTCCAAGTCCTCTTGTTCGTACTTAGCCACTTCCTCAAATTTAATAAATTCATTTGAGCTTAAACGGCAATAAAAAGGCGCGGCTCCAGCAGCAGTGCCCCTGGATCGCTCAAGCTCCGATCGTCCTGGCCTTCGCCATTTAACTCCTCCCAGAACTCATCTGATTCCGCACCCTCCTCCACAACCTCAAACTCAAGGTCATCCCAGTACAGGGAGAAGCGATTTAGGGCACCTCTTTTCTCAAAGGCAGATGCGCCCATACCGTTCCAAATATATATCCTGTTGGACTGTCCAGAAAGAAAGACACAGACATCACGCGAAGCCAAGGATAAACTTTCAGCAGGTACCTCATTGGCATGCACATCGTTTTCTAAGGTACCTTGTATGCGGAAAAGTTGTGCAGCTACAGGGAGTGCCGTGTAGGATATTATCAACTGTCCTTTAAATATCTTATAGAAGTGGCGAGGCTCGTGGCCATGGTTGACCAACACAAAAATACCTTCCTGCTTTTTTGCCCGCTTCTGGGCGGCAGAGGAAGAGTTTATTCCCTGCCAAACATACGTTATGGAACCAGTGTCTCCGTTGTCCTCATAGTTATAAGTGAGAACGTATGAAGCGATTCCCTGAAGGGGGACGCTCTCCTCAAAAGACACGGTGTCGGCCAAGATTTCATCAGAGCCCGTCTTCGTAACATACTGGGTAATGGTTTCAATACAGTTTTGACCATGATCAGGCATGAAGTCGACCTCCGCTCTTCTTCATCTGAGACACCACAGCGTCGATTTGGTCGACATCATTCATAAGAGCCGAAGTCCAAAGCCGAGCGAATGAGACGACTATGCTCCATTCCACCATCACGCCAGGTAGCAGGCGAATATACGGACAGGGAAGTAGGCAGAAAGACAGACAGCCATGCAGGCAGACAGACAACGAGGCAGAGAAAAAGGGTAGACAGACAGGCAGGCATACAGGCAGACGGCATGGAGTCAGAGAAACAGTCAGACAGATAGACAGACAGGCTTACAGGATGGCAGACGGACAGAAAGACAGACAGCTTGAAATACAGACATACGGACAGACAGGCAGACGGACCGACGGCAGACAAGCAGTCAGACAAAAAAGCAGAATGTCAGACCGACAGGCAGAAAAGCAGACTGACAGACATGCAGACAAGCAGGCAGCAGCAGACAGACAGACAGAAATATATACAGAAAAGCAGACAGACATTCAGGCAGACAGACAGAAAACCAAGCGGGAAGGCAGACGGGCATTCAGACAGTCAGGCCAACAGACAGACAGAAAGGCAGACGAACCGACAGATAGATAGGCAGTCACACAGCAGACAGACAGGTAGACGTACCGGCAAACGGATCGAAAGACAAACAGACTGTCAGTCGGGCGGACACACAGATAACCAGTAAGACGAACAGAAAGGCAGGCAGGCAGGCAGACAGATATACCGACAGGTAGACGTACAGACAGACGGAGAGACAGAACTCCAGATAGGCAGACGGACAGACAGACAGACAAACACACAGACAGGAAGACAGACAGAAAGACAGACAGGCAGGCATTCAGAAAGTCAGGAAAACAGTCATACGGCAGACAAGAAGTCAGAGAGAAAGGCAGTAAGACAGACAGGCAGACAGACAAACAGACGGACAGACAAGCAGACAGACAGATAAGAAGACAGACGGGCAGACAGACGGACAGGCAGACAGACAGATACATAATACATGCAAGGGTCTTAACAATACATAACAAACAAACATAAAATGCACTGGCGGTGTTGTTTTAATCAAGTGTTTAAATCAACGACCACTTACCTTCCAGTAAGTGTTATCTCAGCTAGGAAACATGCGCTCGAAAACTTTGGGCTCCTTGCCCTGAAGGCCGCGAATGATGATCACCGTGTTGATGGAGCACGCTATGGACTGCGCTCGAATATACAGCTGTGGGTTAACAAAGAATTATAAATGGATCAGAGTGATCCTTTTCTGAGAGACAACCCTATCCGTATCTAGAAATTACGATTTTTCGTCATCTAATGCTTAAGAACCAACCCATTAGTAGAGCTCATGGCCAGCATCCATTAGCATGACGTCATCAGAGTCCAAGTCCTCTTGATTGTACTCAGCCACTTCCTCAAACTTAATAATTCATTGGAGCTTAAACGGCAATGGAAAAGGCGTTCCCAAACTGCGTACCGGCTGTTTTGAGGAGGGCATTAATTTATGCCACCTGTTTCTAAATATTTTGCAACTTAAAATTGCACGAAAAAATGCGGTACCGTGAACGGTGAAAAAGAACATGCCAAAAGAGTGTTTTTCATAAATTTAATTGCGACTGCGTTTCTACAGCGATAAAGAACGAATGTGTGGGGGCGAGCCGACCGATCATCGACTCGCGAGCGCTAATCTTGGCTTGTCTTAAAATAATTGATTACAGTGAAGCAAATTTTGCTATTAGCTTGATGACCGCTTCCGACATACTCCCCCCGTTGGAAGAGCCATACTTCTAAGCGAAGTGCTTTCAAGGGGCAGCACAGCTAATTTCCTTGTTGCCCGGTTGCACAATCCAGAGTTAGTGCGGATCACCGCAATTCGATCGACGCCGTCATCTCCAGAGACAGTGCTCTCCACCCCGCGAAGGCGACACCGCA